TTTATTTTATTTTGAGATAGGATCTCACTAGATTGCTTACAGCCTCACTATGTTGCTAAGGCTAGCCTTGAACCTGCAATCTTCCTGCCTCAGCCTCCCACAGTTTTTTTTTTTATTTCATTTTTTAGTTGTTAATGGACTTTATTTTATTTATTTTCATGTGGTGCTGAGAATTGAATCTGGTGCCCCACTCATGCTAGGCAAATGCCCTACCACTGAGCCACAACCCCATCCCATCCCAGAGTTTTTAAAAGATATTTCAGTCCTCTACTAAAGTTTGAATAGACAGGTTTGGGTAATCATAGAAGTCCCTAACAGGATGACCATGYCAGGCCTGAGATGTGGCTGCTTCTCAAGCCTCCCTGACTTCCCTCAACTCCATCTTCATCCCTAAAGCCCCCACCCAAACACCTCAGATCCTCAGATGATTTGAATATCCTACTATTATTATATTTTAGAACTCTTCTGCATAATTCTTTTTTTTTTCTTTGCCGCACTGGGAATGGAACCCAGGGGTACTCTACCACTAAGCTACACCCTCAGCCTTTTTTATTTTAAGATAGGCTCTCCCCAGTCTGCCTGGCTTCTTTTGCATAATTCTTATCCCCTAATCACATCCAAATTCGTGATTCAAGATCTTATCTTATTTAATCTTCAAATTGCCTTCAAAACTTAAATGTTCCATAAATATTTGTTGAATGAATTAATACATAAGTTAATTGATTCCCAGCAATTAATGTGCATTTGAATCACTTGGGAGAATTAAAATATTCATGCCAGAGCTCCACCCAAGGTGTTCCAGCTCACCCAATTCGGGACCTTTGTTGTAAGAGCTCCCAGGTGATTCTGATGTGCAATCAGAGTGGACACCAGAGGAAATGTGCTCATTCTGGGTGCTCTGCAATATTACCTAGTGTGTCATATCCACTCTGTCCCCTTTAAATGTCTGTATAGCTTATTTTCCTCATAATTGATGAAATCATAATGAAAGTGTCCCAGTTATCTGAACTTTAAAGTTATTAAAAAATAATGCATGTTGGAGTCTATCATAGAGGGGTTGTTGGATATAGCTTATGATATTACTAATACAGGTAATATGCATTTTCCATGTATGCTTTCAATTAACTTTCTTTTGGAAGGAGAAGATGAGTTACTATCTTTCATTAAAACAGTGAAATAGACATCGAAAACCTGGGTGAYTTACTTTTTTTATGAGTTATGAACCCCCAAAATGCTCAAACAAGGAAGGATTTAAACCATTATATTTCTTAAGTACTCAAAAAGTATGGCCATGGTATGTTTAGCCAAGTGTTTTGATTTTAGAAAGGGAAATTCTATATTTAATTCTATATAATGTGTATATAATAACATAATTTTAAGGCACCTGCTTCAAAATAGAAACTGGGATGTTAGGGAAAATAACAATCAACAGAAATTAAACCAAACTGGGCTCAGTGCCCAGGAAAACTAGCCAGRCTCCAAGAACTGGGCAAGGAATAAACTAATAGGGAAAGACAGTGGGAATGGATAGAATTATAACTGTTTCCATCAAAAATGGCCACTGTCCAGTGTGATCACAGCTGAGGAATTTTGCTGGGACACTTGTCATTGTGGTTGTGGTTCCTGCCCTTCTCATTTTAATGACAAACTTGCAATGGAACTTGCCCTCCTAAAAAGTGAATCTTAAACATGCCAGGCATATACAGTGATCTTGCATTGAATTTGAGTTTTTATAATGCTGTAAACTAATTGGAAACAAATGGACCCGAAATAAAAATAGGAGTTCATAACAACTTTAAYTGAAGTTAGAAGGAAAGCCTTCAAGTTTCCCAAGACGCTTAAATGTCATATGATTTACATAAACAAGGGAGGAAATCCTCTTTGTGTGTTTAGGGGTGTGCGTCTAATACAGGAACCCRTGTTTTCCTGTTATTGAAAAGCATTCTTTCTTTAATCTTTTAAGCACATTCTGGGCCTGCATGTATTCCAGGTGTGTGTTTTCTTTGACATTAAAATATAAGAGCAGAGTACAACTATCAGAGGAAACTATTAGGACTCCTATTTTTGTCATAGGAGATGCAAAAAATAAATAAATAAATAAACAAACAAATAAATAAATAAATAAACTGAAATAAATGGATGGACAGAGCCCTGGGCACACTAGTAATATTGCCTGAATTTACTTAGGGGAATGGTTATTCCTAATGGGATGGAGCCAATGAAGAGAGGCCATTTGTGATAAAGACTATAAAATCTCCTCTGATTATGGGTATGGTCATGATGACTTTTTAACCGTAAAAGTAAATTTAAATAGTGTAAAAATGTCCAGAAGCTGTTAGGCAAAAATAACTGAAATAATGGGCAGTAAACCAAAACATTATTTGAAGTTTTAAAAAAAAAAAGTTTGCTAAGTACCTGCTAGGAGCAAGGGGGGAGATTGGATGCTCACCGAATCCAAAGGCAGAGTATCTTCCTTCCGTGCTTTTCTGTGGTCTCTGCTCTCCTACTTCAGTGACCCCAGATACTACAAAGCATTTTTTAATGCCTGAACCATAGAGACTTCTAATCACCAAATGTGACTGGAGCAAATGCTTTCTGTCCCTTGTCCCTCRAGAATGCTTTTCTTTTTGCCATCTTTCAAGCATCTGCCGAATTATTGAAAACAACAACAACAAAAAAAGAATATGTATTTTCTTCTGACACAGCCACTCGGGCCTCCACAGGCTGTGATTAGCTCAAATTCTTTGTAGCGCATGGTGCTCTCTGCTTTCCCTAATTCCTCCATGGCATCATTTCTGTTTAATCTTTACTAACTTCCACATCCAGGACTCAGGAGGAGCTTTTAGGAAAGTGCTTTKAAGACCGTTAATTACCTCTCCAACCATTATTAGTCTCTAAATCACCAAGTAAGCAGATGTAGAAATGCTCAGGGTGACTTTGTCCTGGTGCTTGACATCAGTCGAGAGGCGATGAAGTCCATCTGCAGTTGGAAGGGGGAAAACTGCCGGAGGCTAAGGAGGGGTGGTCCTGGTCCTGTGGGTATAGTGACTTCAAAAATTCATATGTGGGGACTTTGCCCAGAATGCCAGATATAGTCATAATCAGATGCAAACTATATATACACTGGATGATATTATAAAAAGAAATAGTTCTTTTTTATTTTATTTTTTTGGTTAYTTGAGAGTTGAGATTACTCCTTATCAYTGAGGCCTCAGGTATTGATACACTTTCAAACTGTAAATAAGCATTATGGTTCCCCAGGGAGCTCATAACCTTCACTTCCTTTAAAATTTAGCCCTCCTAATGAACCCAGCCTGATGCCTGTCAGCCCCACATGCTTCTTTCCCTGCAAGCTGTAATTGTGCRCTTGTAGCCTCTATTAAAGGTTTTGGTGTTATTTAGCTAAGCTGTTTTTTGTTGGATTGGATGAAGACATAAAGGAAGCAGCTTTTGCAGTTATGTTATAAACAGCTAGAGAGGGSAGACTGAAACTTATATTTCTTTTGCATTCATATCCCCCCACCAAAGGCACMCATTCATTCAGATTCTCTCTGTCGTGCATACACACTGAAGGAGGATATAAACCAGCCTGCAGGCCCACTAATCTCCCTGGTTTTTTCTTGGCAGTGACAAACAAGAAGCCCACACAGGCATCTATCACGAAGGTCAAACAGTTTGAAGGCTCCACATCGTTCGTGCGGAGATCACAGTGGATGCTGGAGCAGCTTCGCCAGGTTAATGGTATCGATCCTAATCGGGTGAGTGAATAGCTCTATGCTGGCCGAAGGAATTCTCTTTACAAGATGATTCTGATTGACCTTGGTAGTGGTGGGGGTGGTTTGAATCATCCCAAACAAGACTGTCAGCCCCATATGCCTCTTTCTCTATTTCAGTCATGGAACTAAAACTTCCTATGCCTCTTCACTTCCTATAGGAAATTACAGATCTAGTTCTTTTGTTTGATGGAGGCACCCAAAGGGATGATTGTTGCAGAAATGCTGCCTCCAGTGACGTTAATAGGAGAAGGCAAGGCTCATCAAAGCTGCATTTGTCCCCCAATGCCACCAATGACAAGAATTATCTACCAAGAATCAAATAAGTTAATGACACCTTAAAAATTTTGTACTAGTATTCCTTTACAAGACAAACATTTTATGATATAGATACATATTTAAAATACCATTCCCTTTGCATATATGCATGTACACACCCCCAAAACATCAATAATGAGGAAGAATAAAATGTAAATTTGTTACTCTCTATTAAAATAAGGGAGATTCTCTTACTACCAAAGTTTAGGGGCAAGATTAATAGAGGTCACTGCTGAGAACCTGAGGTCATCCATCTTCCAAGTAATTGGGAAAATAATACAGTTGGAATTCTGACCATCAGTGTGTAGTTAGACTGTCTTTACTTCTGTGATACTAACTTCCTAGGGACATCTATAAATTCCATGTGATTTGAATTTTGCTTGATATACATAGAAACATGGACCCTTCACACACTTGGGTCGTAATAAAGCTGAGCCTTACAATTGGTACCACAGTCTTTGTTTTAGCCTTTCTGAGTCTTTTGACAGGGGAAAACTGGAAGCAGCAGTCTTTATAGATTGAGATCAGTAGTTATCTCACTGTCTTTTCCAGGATTCTGCAGAGTTTGATTTGTTGTTTGAAAATGCTTTTGACCAGTGGGTAGCCAGCACAGCCTCAGAAAAGTCCACCTTCTTCCAGATCCTCCATCACACCTGCCAGAGGTACCTCACAGACAGGAAGCCGGAGTTTATTAACTGCCAGTCCAAAATTATGGGAGGTGAGTGGGCATCTGTGTGACTTTAGTCATCCTGTTTCCTTAGACTTGCTTTTATATAAGAAGATATTCAGCGCATAATTAAAAGAATCAAAATGCTCAGAAGTAGACAGCATTAAATTATCTTAGAGAGTGTACACTATGCTACATCTAGACACAGTGGTGTGTTTTCACTCTTACACAAAAGATGGTCTTTTTAGAACAATGAGCCACCTTTCAATTTTTCTTCTTTACCGCTTTTTCTATAATTTCACCGCAGAACACTATTTTCTGGGTTGCTTTTTTCTGTTATTTCTCAAGATGTTTCACAAATGCTAATATAAAAATTCCAATTGATTTTGTCCCTTTTTTTGAAATAATAGCCAGTCTCATGTTTATTCCTTGGCACACAAAGATGAGTTAGAATGAGGGCCATAAGCCAGTGTTATATGGTGAGTACCATCTTAGGCAGCACAGTGAGACACTTTTAGAGGGTGATCACACATTTCTTTTAGGTGGCAAGTCTTTTTAGGGAATTCAAACTGTGCTAAAAATATAAAAGACTTGCCAATCACTCTGAGTTGGAGAAGAGTTATTTTATATCATTGGTCTTTTCGCTGACCTGTTTTCTTGGTTTTGCAAAATGTATTTTTAAAAATGCACCAATTTTGCCTTAATAAATATTAAATGAAAATCACAGTAGAGACTCTGCCTCTTCTCCTTGGCCTTTCATATATTCTTCATTTGAATTTGGGGTGAAATCTACTTTTCTGTCCCCAGCTGAAACACACACTCTCACTTTGCCATTAGTCTGCACAACGTCATATAGAGAAAACAATGTCCAATTCTTTATTATTATCCTTGCAAGTGTTTGTATTACTCTTAAACTGAAAGATAATAATCCAAATAACCTTGAAAGTCTTTCTTAAGCATTGATGCAATTTTTTATTATAGCTTCTCTGTTTAGTCCTAGAAAAATATAAGAGGTGATATGTGGTGCATATTTTCTTCAAAGTGGCCACTTCTTGTTGGACAAAAACAAAGTTAAATATTTAAARGAAATATCAACCAACACCAACCTCTGTGGCAAATATAATGAGATGGAACTCTCTCTCATGCCTGTGCCATCAGTGATCTTCAAATGAACTCTGCTTTGGAAATCCAACCTTAACTGATTTGGTAAAAAGGTTGCAATACCCCGGGTTTTGGACTATTGGTGTCTGTTTCTTGTGAATGAAAAGTTGGACAGAATACCCAGCTTTCCCTTATTCTTCATTAGCTCTTAAGTTAGATCTGTTATAGCCTAAGATCAGATTACTTTCTTGATCTTCACTTCTTGCTGTGGAACATTTCCCTCATCAGTGTCAGTGTGGTCAGCAGCTTGTATGGCTATCAACCCTAAAAATAGTGTGCCTTTATGGATTTGAAATTGTCATTGCTCTTGGAGAAAGACTCTTCCAGAGCATTTCACTTCTTCATGAGAGGCCAGAAGCAAGTGCAGTTCCATGGGAACGCCTGCATTTCTAAGATGTTCTCTTTGAATATCTCGGCTTTCCCATAAGTCCAACCAGCTGTCTCTGTCAATCATTGACCCAGTCCTTCAGATATCTTCATTTTTGAACACCAAATGATGCAGAGTTGAGATGGGAACCCATATATCTAAAGTTACATTGTTTGTATGTGTATTGGATCAAGTTCAATATTGCTTTCTTACAGTCTGAGAAATAGTAAAGTTTAATGAGATCAAGTCCCAGAAAAAAGTTTGTAGTAAGCCTGTTGTAATTTGTTGGCAGCACATATGTCCTTAATGAATGTAGTCTGTCTTATTTAAACAGTTGCTGATCCTTGATAACAGTTGTACCTACACACCCTGATAAATTAGTATSCTCATTAGTCTTCCTTTCTGCCACATCACAATCCTGAGACTTAAAAATGATGTGTTTCTGGGATCACTATATCCTGACCCCTTTAACTTTTGAATACCTGCTCCATCTTAGGCAGATGAACAACTTTCCTTATTTCACAAAATATTTTGATGTCTCCTTATACTTAGGCCACAATGTTTATTGTACTTTGAAATATGTTAGTTTTGTGATTTTAGAGAACAAATGTTGGTGTTGGTATGCTGCCCTCCACCAGACTCTTTACTTATCTTACTTAGTTTTTAAAGCAGCCTTTGGAAATACAATGTATTATCTTCATTTTACAGAGAAGGAAACAGGATCAGAGAGATTATTAARTAGCTTGCCAAGGGTCATATCAGTAGTGAGTAGTGGAGATTAGATTTCAACACAGGCTCACTGAGCTCTAAAAGTATTTTCCTCAGGGTCTCTGAGTGGCACATGCCAGGAAACCTCATTACACTGCCTTTGGTATGAATGGCGCCCTCTGGAGTTGTGCAGTAATATTGTTGGAAGTATTTTATCGAGCACATTCCTGTGTTTGGAAGAGTGAATGGGGGGTAGGAGGAGAGCATTAGAGATTATAATAGTTTTAATTTTTTCTTTGTTATGTCACAGATACATAATTACAATAATTCTTTTTCTTTTTGTCCTAAGTAGAGTCATTGAGGACCCCTTAAGATCATCTTGCTTTTTGTTTTCTGTTTGTTTGTTTTTTTTTCACTAGAACTTTAGATAAGGCAGATGAAAGAATGGGGAAGAGATGCATCCTGGCCGTGCTGGGTCTCTGGTCTAGCCATGTCACTGGGAAAACTGAGGCATAGCAATTTGGAATGAGACTGACTGTCAAGGTCAAAGGTCTAGAAGCAAGTCTGACTCTCAATGAACTCTACTTTCTTTCAGACTAATTTTAGTATAAGATGATCATTTAAATATCTATGATCCTWTGCAGTCGTGCTCTTATGTTTTTGATTGTGCCTATCCCTTGTGATAATATTTTTTATTCTTTGTGAAAGGTCATTTAAATCCATTTCAAAAGTGAAATGAATTCTTTGCATGTTTGAAATTCTTTGTTTCTCCCAAATGATATTTTCTTATTACCAGAGGACAAACTAGGAATCTTCTCATGCTAGTTCAGGATCCAGTGAAGACACAAGTGAAGTCTTTTTTTAAATTTTATTATTTCTTATTTATATATGACAGTGGAATGCATTACAATTCTTATTACACATATAGAGAACAATTTTTCRTATCTCTGGTTGTATACTCAGTATGTTCACACCAATTCATGTCTTCATACATGTACTTTGGATAATAACGTCCATCATGTTCCACCACCATTAATAACTCCATGCACCCTCCTTTTCCCTCCAACCCCTCTGCCCTATCTAGAGTTTGTCTATTCCTCCCATGCTCCCACTCCCTTTCCCACTATGAATCAGCCTCCTTATATCAAAGAAAATATTTGGCATTTGGTGTTTTGAGATTAGCTAACTTTACTTAGCATTATCTTCTCTAACTCCATCCATTTACCTGCAAATACCATAATTTTATTCTCTTTTATCGCTGAGTAATATTCCATTGAGTATATATGCCATATTTTTTTTATCCATTCATCTGCTGAAGGGCATCTAGGTTGGTTCCACAATTTAGCTATTGTGAATTGTGCTGCTATAAACATTGATATGACTGTGTCCCTGTAGTATKCTGTTTTTAAGTCCTTTGGGTATAGACCAAGGAGAGGGATAGCTGGGTCAAATGGTGGTTCCATTCCCAATTTCCCAAGAAATCTCCATATTGCTTTCCATATTGGCTGCACCAATTTGCAGTCCCAACAGCAGTGTATGAGTGTGTCTTTTCCCCCAAATCCTCGACAACACTTATTGTTGTTTGTATGCATAATAGCTGCCATTCTGACTGGAGATGAAATCTTAAGAGTGTTTTTGATTTGCGTTTCTCTAATTTCTAGTGATGATGAACATTTTTCATGTATTTGTTGATTGATTGTCCATCTTCTTCTGAGAAGTGTCTGTTCAGGTCCTTGACCCAATTATTGATTTAGTTATTTGGTTTTTTAGTGTTTAACTTTTTGAGTTCTTTATATACCCTAGAGATTAGTGCTCTATCTGATTTGTGAGAGGTAAAAATTTGCTCCCAAGATGTAGGCTCTCTATTCACCTCACAGATTGTTTCTTTTCTGAGAAGAGACTTTTTAGAGCTCATTGGAGCCCTCATAAGCTGAAAGAGGGCAGGAGGCTCTGAAGAAGTGTGAAGAGGGAAGCACTGGCCCCTCCTCCTGCCTCATCAGCACATTTGCAGCTCTTCTTTCCTCTCCTCTTCTTTCCTCTCCTCTTGTCTCCTGTTCATGGTTAGAGGATCATTAAGCTAGGATGGACCCTCAACTCATCCTAACTTCCACCCTACCTTGAAAAAATACAAAGCTGTTCATTTGGTTTGCTGGGTCCTTAAGCTACCTACTGATCCACAGAGATTGGAGACGGAGGTGTGGAGCCAATTCTATCTGCTGCAATGAAATATGATATCTTGAATGACATGATATCTTGAAAGTGAAGTTCACATGGGTTGAATTTACTTCTTCTGAAATGGAGGCCTTTACTTTTTCTGTTTACTGTAAACYGAGGTGATGTTATACTGTTAWGTGTGCAATGACACATTTATACTTGAACCTGAAACTACAAAAGAGAGGCTTGCTTTCAGCTAAGTCCTTTCAAAGAAAGGTGGTCTGCCCCAAATAGAGCATCAGTTTAGATCATGAGCATTTCCTATTAATTCAAGGTCCCAAAGAAGACTTTGGTTTTTTTCTTACTTCATTGTTCTTAAAAAAATGTGAACAATTCCCACATGGCTCCTACATTGCTATTTTATTTTACTGACCTTTTGTAATGATTATTGTTGGCCTTTTATTTTTATGTCTAATATAGGTTGAATATCCCTTATCTGAMATGCTTRAAACAAGGTTTTTAGATTTCAGTTTCTGGACTTTGGAATATTTGCATTTATATGTAATGAGGTATCTTGGGGATAGGACCTAGGTCTAATCACAGTCATTTATKTTTCATGTGCACCTTACACACATGTTTGAAGATAATTTTATACAGTATT